GCTAAAATGCGTGCAGAAAATCAAACCGAATAGCATGTCAAAAAATGATTATAAAGCTTACTTCACTACCTAGGCACCTACTGCCAAGTGAATATTTTATTAATTTCGTAAAACATCCACTGGGGAAACGAATGTATGAACATAAAGTATATACGCACGTTCATATATAAAAGCAGATGTATGTCACACGAAGTATACATTAAGCCAAGCCTTTTATTTCGCACGAAATGTTTCACTTAAATGATAATTGCTCAAATGAAGCGAATCCGCCACGTAAGCACAGTATTTCGAATATTTAATATTTTATTATTCTGATGAAAATCTTTGTATATAATCAAAGATTTTAAATTGATATCCTGAATATTTTGGAGTAACATAATCGAGTTGTTACTATTTTTAAATAAGATTATTAAAAAAAAAATCTATAGAAAGGACTTTTGTTTATTTTCTATTTTTAAAAAAGTTCTGATAATTTTAATATTTTATAAATTTTTATTATTAATCCATTCTACTCAATTGTGAGTTTTTAATCTGTCTGTTGAACGTTTATAGACTTTATTTCATAAAAATATGGGGAAACAAGTTTAGGTAATTCTACTTTCTAAAAATTTTGGGGATTTTATTAAATTATTCAATATTCTGATTAAGTTGTATATATTTGACTGAAAATTCTATTTAAAAACTATGAATAATAAAATAAGAATAAATTTTTCATCCTTTATTAAAAAGAATTAAACTGATTTTTAATTATTGTATTTGATTAATCAAAGAATGAGATCATTTTATTAATAACCATAAATGAGTTAGTAAATATATTGACAATTATGGAACAAAAAGTTTTTATAATTCATGAATCGTGATTCCGAGAATAAGATAGAGAGCTCCAGCGATTCCTCGTTATCAAGTCGGGGCATCGGAAAATCAGACTAAGCATCATAACGGGAAAAGGGGTTTGAGGGAGTGATAGCGACTATGATGTAGCCACGATATCGTGGACATAACATGTAGGTACATTAGCAAATGTAGCTATGTAAGAAGCTTCTGGGAGACGAGGAAAGAGGAAATAGTCATTTAGGACAAACTACCCTTAGGTAGCACTCACGCGACTGATCTTATCATGTCTCCAAGCACCCAGAATGCACACATCCAACCATCGCGTGAATAGTTAAATATATCTCGACACGAAGTCATTTTTTTCGTCAATAATTGATGTGTCAAGTCGACGACAATAAAGTATAAGCCATAATGAAAGTTAAATAAAAATAAATAAATTATTTCAAGTCAATATTACATATTTATATTTTTTATAGAAATATATTGAAGGGAGTTTCGAGTTTAGAGACTTAACGCACGATTAGATACACTAGAGAAACGGAATAGTTTAGTCCTTGGTAGATATATCTCAGAAATCGCAAGGAGAGTTTCTCGAAAGGTCGTTGTGACCCTTGGAGATGCGCCACGCAATCTTATCACGATTTGCATAAATTTAAAGTTTCTCGCTCAAGTTCGACCTAAGGGCACTCTGAGAAGCTGTGTCTTCTAGTGTCCCTTTATATCTTTACTATTAAGTCATTTACAAAACTACATTACATAAAATCAGTTTGAAATGATTAAAATTCTTATTTAGAACAACTTAGTTGTTTATGATCAACAAAATTTTTCTTGTAATAAATAAAATATGAAATAAAAAACCAATGAAGTGACTAACATGTCATTAAAAAAGTGATTTCATCATTGCAAATTTTTCTACTGAGTTTAGCATACTCTAAAATCCCCATTGTTGCCTTTTTGGGTTTTTCATGATGATTACGTCTTGTCTTTTCCGTACGTACATTATTCACGTATCCCCCCAACCTGTTCAAAGGCTTTTCGGTCAATAGACATATGTGAACACATAAAGTAGCTTCCTAACATCCTGACGTTGCAGTGACAACAGGAGCACAAGTACTCGTCAACGTTCAGCACATTGCTGTATGCTTAGCGGCTTAGGTACTACAATGTTTTCATATCATGTATTCGTTCTTTTCGAAATTCATATCACGGGTTCCTTCTAAATGACTCGGCATTAAGTAACATTTTCAAGTAACAAATGTAAGCATTGTTATCCCGTGGTCTTGTTAGTTGACATGGATTTAACAGCCTTCAAGATTGAAGAAGTCATATAAGTCTAGCAGCTGATCTCTTTAGATTTACTCGATGGCTTTTCTACACCTTTCGTTTACCTTGTACTTACCCTAAAGAATTTTATTGCAGTGTTTGAATTCAAATAGTCAAGGAAAAAAGAAAAAGATGAAAAAAAGTGTGGACATAAAAAGTCACCAAGTGGACAAATGTGTGAGACAGACGACGAGAAAAAGAACATATGGACGTTAAGCTTCTCTAAGATAAGAGAAAACCAGACAAATATTTGCGGAATATGACACCCTTGGCTCACTCAAGCACAGTCATATCTTTTTTTTTTCCTTTATCCTCTTTAACGCCTTATCTTTTCAACACATTTCCACCACTTTCATGATTCTCTGAAGACCATAAGCTACATGCAAGAATGTTATTTAATTAATAATCTTTCGCTATAATATTTGCAATGTAAAGTAATATTTTACCTTAAGTTATTCGATTTATTCTTAAACATGAAAGGAATTATTATCAGTTGAGAATAATAAATGTAGAAAAGAGTCTCAAAGCTTATAACTTAAGAGGATTCCCGAATGAGTACGAAAAAGGATGAACAGTTCAGTAACAAGCTCAAGTAGCTTTTGGTCTTTGAATTAAAGACCTTGGCCACTTTTTCGTATTACATTTCATCTGAATACTCTTAATGAGAAAAACTGGACATCAACTAAAGACTAGTTTTCCAAAGAAGAGTCAGCTTCTACCACTTTATGCATTTTTTTTTCTTATTTTAAAAAAAATCCATGGTTGTATTCAAGTCGAAATGTGTATCTGTGTGAGCATATTACGTACAGTGCATTTATGATTCATAAAATAGTCCACCTGATAGAATGAGCTTACTTTGACAATAAGTTGGTGTTTTATCGTAAACTTGAATCTTTTGACAGGAAGAGATATGATTTGTGGCTTGGAAATGATTTTAAAGCCATATGGCTAAGACTCGTTTGATACTCTTATCGAAGATAATTCAAGGTAATTAAATATCTCGGCCACCTGCCAATTTTTCTGCTTATGTGGACAATGAAATAATCGATTTCCCTTACGTCACAGAATAACAAAGATAAGTATATTAATGGAAAAAAAACATCAACAAAATTGTTTACATTTTTTCAATGATATTTTTAATAATTAAATTTGTATTAAAAGTCAGATCATTTACAGAACAGCTAGTATGAATAAAATTGTTTTGATGAATTATTAGTGTCTACTGAATAAAGAAATATATTGATGACTGATAAAAATAATCAAAGTAAAAAGTACATGATCCAATAATTCTATCTCTTACATTAGTAACACAAAAAGATAATGTCAAAATATTTCAATATAATTTTTTCAAATTTATACAAGAATAATTTTTCTCTTGAAATTATTGAAGTCTAGAATCCTTGGAATATTTTATGATAATAGAACGAATTTTTTTTTGTAAATGTACGATTTAGTCTCTTCTGTTAACAGGTTTTAGCTTTGCCCTCTGTTCCTGCAACATTTCTGGAGTAATTTTCACTTGACACCTATTGGCATATATATGACAGGACATGTCTCCACAACATTCACCGCTCGAAATACACTAATTTTCAAACAAAAAAAAATTTTATTACAATTTAAAAATGTTTTTCTAAAATGGTATAGGTGTTGTATGTACTCACTGGGTCACCATGCCTCTTGCAACTCATCTTGTTATCAGAAGTTGTCCGGGCAGAGATAAGAGTAACAGCCAGCAGACCAATCATGATAAATAGTGTAATCTTAGCCATTTTTTTATTAGCAAATATTTCTCGTAAGCTGAAAAAATTCATTAAGAAAACAAATATTATAATTGAGGAAATAAGTGAGTTATTCAAGTTTTTGTAAGATTATAAAGGTCAGGCATTAAAATTCAAGGCAATATACAGCCTAAGAAATTCATTACAATGATACAAGGTCAAATTGCCTCATTCAAGTTTCAACGTCAGAATGATATCAGTAGTCACAACAGTTTATTTGCAACTGACATATGACGTACTGTTTTTAGCTGGATTTGAAACAACGAGTATAAAAAAGTGTGCTGTGAAAATATCTGTTACCACCTTAAAACATGAAAATATTCAAATAAAAGTTAGAAATAGAGATATTATTTTATTTGAAATATAACAATCGTATGCCAGAAATATTTTTCACTAGTGAAAGTATAGATTTTATTATGTAATTTAGTTGTAAAAAATTATATTCAATTTATCTAATAGTTAACAATAAAATATCATTTTCGTATTCATTGATAATTTTTATTAAATTTTTCTACAAACATTTTTTCTCTTATTCAGAGTTAAATAAAATTAAAACCGACGTAACGTAAATGTCAACAATCAACTCATGAAAAATTTTTTATGTTTGAAAAAATTGTTTAAAAATGAAAAGGATTCAAGTTACTATGAAAAATAATTTCTCTAAAGATATTTTCGAAATTTAAGTGTGACGCAATTATTAATTTACATTATTTAATTATAAATAAATATTAGAGTAATCAGCTATATAATTCAATCTTTTGGTATAACAAACTCTTTAGATAAATTCACAATCAATTTATTTTTATCAATATTAGCTCAATAATTAACAATAAAAAACGGGAAATAATTTAAATCATAACATAATATAGAGAACACTCACAAAAAAATTGATACTCTGAAACGTTCTTTCTCAGCTGTTTTTACACTACTGACGTCTTAAGTCTGCAACAACGCTTTTATATGATGAGAGCTCAATCTCCTGATTCGTATGGAACACATCTTGTGACTCATTGTATGCTAGGATTAACATTTGTATGAATGGAATAAATTTATAACAGTTCTTAATAAATTTTTATCACATGATTTATTCTTTAATACATTGGATTTCTTCTTTTGTTACAATCATTATTTCAAATCTCTTCCATTAAGATTTTTCTAAGAATCTTTCAACAATAAAGAATCTCAAGATTAATAAAAATCACACGAATGAACAAAAAAACATTCAGACAACTCCTGGAGCTGCATTGTGAATGACTAAATAAAAAAAAAGCTATTCGTACAATGCATTGCTTTCTTAACTATCATTGATAGATATTTTTTATCCTTCAATTTTGAAATTATGTTACACAACGTTTCATATAACCAAGGCAGACGTATGGTTTACAACAATTTTCGGTTGTGTGGCACTGTAATTAAACAATTTTCCAACGAAATAACACGTAAGCTATAGTTGTGTGGAATGAATTATCAAGTTAAAATGATATAATTAAATGGTTACTTACAAATTCTCCAATGAGTGAACAATTCCTCGAAGCAGCCATCGTCATTGTTATTGCTATCAACACGATTGCAATAATTACACAAAGTCCTCGGAGCATGATGAAGATATACTTGGAAGTAAATTATAAGCCTGTAAAAACAATAGTTTATTAAATAAAGTGATAAAACATAATTATTGAAAAAAAAGACAAATGATTTACTTGGGTGAATGAACCAATGTTATTAGTGTATTTCAAACTAGTGAATGCTTCACTTCGTTAATATATATACATTCGATTGAAGATGGATATCAGTTTTTTTATCAAGTCAGACAATTATCAATCGTATCTCTGAATCTCTACATGAAATGATATCGTTGTGATTACATTTTCATTTAATTAATAGTTTTGAAAAGTTAAGCTTGATATTAATTAAAAAAATATCTTTAATACAAAGAAACTTTGAACATATTTTTTCAATTTTTTATCTTTGTTGTTGTTTACTTCAAAAAAAAATTTGAATATACTGATGGTCAAAGTAAATTGACGTCATGAATTTTCAATAATAGAATTAAAAAGGTTTATAGATCTGAATGAATATTATTAAATTCTTACATGATACAAATGTTCACCTTGAAAGTGATGTAGATACGTATTCATTATAAAGTTATTTTTCTTTATGGATACTAGAGATATCAATTGTCACAGAGTAAATAAAAAATTGGTATTACTTATTACTCCTTCAGGTGTTAACAAAAAAATCTGAGGTTACAGATTCTAGTGATATTTATAGATAATGTCAAAATGATGATAACAATCATCATATAAACATGGTAAATTTTCAACATCAAAGAGCAATTAAGTGAATAATTGAAAACTGTTGTATACTACATGATTGCATTTAAAAATATGAAATCAAAAAATGTTCATACTATTTATTAATTTTCAATAGATATTAATATTGCACCAAATTAATTGATTCAAACCAAAATAACCATTTGAAACATGTAACATGTAATTCATTCACACACATCAATCTACGTGTATAGAAGTATTGTTTTATAACAATAATCGAAACCACCTGACGAATTGATTTCATCGGTATTTTCATTCAAAGTCTCTTATTCAAAACCAATATTTTCAATATACATCTCAAATCACTTGGGCTCCCAATCAATTATTTCATGATCAAAATTACGATACAGTAAAAAATAACGATCAGAAAATTCCCATCACTCAATTTTACTCCTGTTGATAAATTTTTTTATTGAATTATATTTATTTGGCTAAAAATTATTTTCTTACACATTCTCAATGAGTCATCAAGTGATTATGTAAAGTTTGGAAATTTCTAATCTCTCAATAAATATTTATATATTATTATTATTATTATTATTATTATTTTGATGCATGATAAAATAAGTCGGAATTTCCAATGATTCCTATGAAACGTTGACTTTCTTCGCTTAAAAATTGTATAGACTGTTCGTAGGAAATATTAGTGATAACAGAGCCATCAGAAGATCGAAGGTTATCATGAATATGTATATATTTAGCATAAATATTTGATCTACATAAATATATTTTTTAAGCATAAATTTAACTCTAGACATAATTGTGTTTAATTTTGACTATTTTATTACAATTTATTTTTTGTCAATTAAAATAATTTTTTATCCTTTCATGAAAGGTATCTTTAGATATCAGATATTCTATTCATATTTTTTGAAGACTATTACTTTTTTATCAAAATTTATTAAAAAAAAAATCTGATTAGAATCTCTTGAATGATTAACCATATCTATTTAATGTAAATATAAAGGTAGAAAAATGATTATAAAGTAAAAACATTTTTATTGAGTACTATTCTCGCATAAACTTCAATTTAATGACAAAAAAATCCCGACGAAAAAAAAGGCAGACCTCCGGAGGCATTACAACATATAGAGCATACAACAATTTCTTAATTAGTGAGTGTCGCTTGCATGCGAGCTGAAAGTAAAGGGGACTGCTGTACTCCTAACAATAACTTCCGCACGCATTTCCGCTCTTAGTTCGCCTCTTTAACAGTTTTGTTCCGGAGCACGTGTTGTTCAGATTTATTTATCATATATAATATCACACAAAAATCATTCTATAGTGTTGGTAATATTTGCACAAAGTTACTGATGTAGAACCTTCATTTGAAAAGATTTTATTCTCAGTCTGTTTATTTGATTACAATTATTTTCGCAACTTTAATACTGACATGACATAATACTTGAAATTACGAGCATAAATAATTAATTATCATATCAATAAATAAATAGCTAATGAATCAATTCGGAAGTACTTTATTTAAAAATGATAAGTCAACTATTATTTATTCATAAGCATAAAAAAAACTTCCAATGATTTTTTTTTTGTTAACCAACTAATTTTGCCGGTGAGGATTACAGAATTTTTATCAACATTGTAAATATTAGTTTTTGCATTGAAACTGTAAACATGACATTGTTTTCATCGTAAAAACCTTTTTATTGACCGAGATTGTATGAGCTATTTTTTGTCACTGGTTGAGTTTAAATAAAAAAATAGCAAACTTTATCCAATCTTCATCTGAAACCCTCTTCTTGGTCAACCCCAAGTAGTTGAACGACTCCCCAGGAAACCAGATTAGACGCCCCAGGAATCGCTTCTACCAGAAAGTCGTAAATCTCGGTTGTCAGTATAGTCTTGTCCTAGGTGGTTTTGCTACCGGAATCTATTGCCTAGCTCGAGAGCTACGACGTTCTCCTTCTCGTGCTTTCGACGTATTCAACAACTAAGTGCAATGTCTCAAAGATAAGCGCGTGACTGGACAATTTGATAATTGGATCTATGTGGCGACATGGTGATTTACGGTCTCATTCAATGTTAACATTTGTTGTGTGTGTGCACAAGTCACATGTCTATTATAAATTAAATAAGATGATGGCTGGGTACAGAATCTCTTACGTTGTTTTACCTTTTTCCTTTCTACTGGAGACTATAAATATTTTTATAATTAGCTTTTAATTATAAAAATCTAAAGCAATCAGTTTAAATATAAGAGTCAAAAGACTAATACTTTTGACGTTGAATTACGATAGTTTTTGGAGTTTAAATCAAACTCACGTTGAAGAAAAAATAACAAGTCATAAAATAAAATATCCACGTGGCAAAGATTCTCATAATGTTTTTGCATGAAAGTTATAGAAGCGTCAAGAAATAACGAGGGGTAACGTCACCTTGCTTTTCATGATAGCATAATAAAACAGAAGTAAATCCAAGAATTTTTTTATTCAACAACATTTCGGTACATGCAGATCAAATTTTTCAAGTGTCTCATAAATTTTTTATGACTTGGAACGGACGGTAAAAACGCGGGAAAAGACTAAGCATCCTCACTGACCATTTCCTAGCAATTTCCTACGGCTGTTTTTCACGTAAACTTTTGAACCCCTCTACACACCCACTACTAACTCCTCTTGTCGGTTATTCCGGCTGCCGAGCGCTGTAAAATATCTGCTAAGTAGCCACGACAGACACAGAGGGCAAACCGAGTTATAAATGGCCAGCCACGAATGCCACCGCTTTGTGTCCAGATGCGTCCTTAATACTACACCGGACCTCCTGGACACTGCTCACTGTCAACACTAAATGCTTTGTCCATCCCGACGAAGGATTGTTTTTCTAATAACATCACTACCTAATGCATTTCTTTTCTTTTCAAAATTATCTCTTCTGATCAATGTTATTCACAACTATGTGCATACTTTTTTTTGATGATTTTTATTAAAATCAGTTGAGAACTACTGAATAAAATAAAAAAAAAGCTTACGGAAGTCTAATCAAATTCTTGTATTTATTACCAGCTGATAATGCAATATTTTCAGAACTGAGGCTAATGACCATTATCCACCGCTGTATTCGTAATCAGGAGACATGTATTTATCATAATTAGCTTATTGTGTCCAAGAACCATTTTCGTTATTAACCAGCATAATTAGCTGAAACCGATTTAACTCAAAATCTAATCGATTCCTGATTATTTTTAAAAAATTACATTCCTTATAAAAATAAATTAAATTACTATCAGAATTATATTCGTCATTCCTCATAAAATTCTTCTTCTTACCCAATATTTGATGAGTAAATAAGTAGAAGGGTGTTGAGATAAAAGTGACTTTCCTTAAAAAAAATTTCACTCTTCAAGATTAAAGAATCAATTCATTAGCATATATTATTACCACGTTAATTGATACTCTTTTATATTTTACGGGAATGTTTAAGATTTAGTAATTAAAAATCTCGATAAAAATTTAATAGAATAATATATATTTAATGTTCCCTTTAGAGGGATGAATGCACCGCAGGTATTGGTGATGAGAGGAAAAATAACGTCTCACAGCACTGGACAAAAAATTTACCGCGCGTTGAGTAAGTCTCTGGTGCCATCTATCTCATTATGAGTATACTATCGTACTCAACTCTTATATGAGATCCTAAAGCACAAGGATTAAATAAGCCGGCAACGACGATTCCTGAAAAGTTGGATTGGAAGACGAATGAAGGAAAAAATGGACAATAAAAACATCATATAAAAACTCAACCCCTACAAAATAAGAGAGAGAGAACGAAAGATAAAAAAAAATGCTTTCCAATAAATCTTTTTAGAATTGAAGAGTTGATTTAGACCTTGAATTTTTTAGCTAAATGCTTTGATAAATAATTCAATAAAATAGAAGCACTGAATAAATTCAATCATCTAGGAATTGAGTGAAATCTCCGAGCAGGTACTATTTTTAATTCTCACAGAAAACCAATCTACTATGTGTAACATATCATTTTTTATTGATTTGCAAGATGTGTTTATCGTTCTCATACGTTTTTATGAATGGTCATGGTTATACACCTACACGCATAAACAAATGCAATCGCTCAATAATATAGCAGGATGACTATGGGACATGGAGTGATTGGGGTGCAGACGGCCTATGCAGTTTAATTTATGTTGTATCACCAACCAGTCGTATTGGCATTCGCATCGAAACGGACGTTTATTTCTGTTACATTCGAGCACTTTTTTTTTTGTTAAAAAAAAAAAAATTCTTAGTACACGAAAGTGCGGTTTCAAAAAAAGACTTGTCAATCTTCTGCTGAATCACTGAAGATTCGCAATGTATCTGCTCAGTATCACTGCAATCCGATGATTTATAGATTGCATCTATATTTGAGGATAATGTGATACGTATGTATAATCCAGCCGTTGTCACATAAGCTCTCACGCTCATCAGTAAGCAACATGAATAAACAGACAAAATATGGAAGCTCTCAGAAAATC